GGCGGGTTTTAAAAAATTAAAACTGCAAGCGTAATACACACAATACCGTAACACTGTGTCGTATTTACTTAACGTAGGACAGTTGCGCTATATCCTAGGGGAGGGCATAAAAATGTTGCGCCCCTTTACACCTGCGCCCGGGGGCGACTGCCCCCTCTTGCTACGCCACTGGCCTCCTTCCTTTTTCTCGAAATAGTTTTTTGTTACTTGGCCTTATGTAACTTTTTCAGGCGCGTCTTTACGACCAGTACAACCAACTATTTCAAAGATGTACTTCAGATTAAAGCTTTCATTTCATCAAGAAATAAATCTCCCTCAAATAATGTTATCATGAGACATTTTACGCACTGTCCTACTCTATTTGCGAGTACCTTTACATAGAAATTTTGATTAATTTTAAATTATATTTAGTGTCAGCCAAGCATCTAATAGTTTAGTTAAGCTGGATTCCTAAGCGATTTAATCATTTGTCTGTAAACTGGCAAATAAATATTTGTAAAATTCTGGGAGTCTTTATTATTCGTGGCAGAAAAGTTAAATTATCCACCATTATTGTTAATTTGAAAATTAGCCACTTTTTTATTATGAGTTTATAGCTAAGCAAAAAGCTGCATAATTGGCTATCTGTACTGTGCCCACTAAAGGTATAGAATTTAGAAACCCGAATTTTTAGTGTTGTAAGCCTTCACTCTTACCATTAGGGCAGCTTTTTATTGTGAAAGGGCACGACAAAAGTCTAATTATTGTTTGAAAATGTATCCCAACAAACACGTATACGCTTTTTTTCTTTTTATAAAACCATTAACTTCAAAAATGAATTTTCAAAGTTATGCCTAACCTAGTCACGCAACTTCATGTATTACGCTTATAATAAACCATGAGTCAGTATTTAAAGTGAGCCTAAACAAAGTGTATATCCTCTTAATTTTTCTTTGTATTTGTCTATTAAGCAGCAACATGTAATCAAATGCCTGACCAAATTGCAATATTTTATTGCATCGGTGTTTCATAAGCAAGTATTTCTTTTATTTTATATATATATATTAAATAATATCTATTATGAAACGCTATTATATTCGTCTTTTTTTTCTGTATCGACGTAAAATCCTCAACTATATTTTCACTAACATAATACTAGCACCTTTGAGTTAATTATTTTTTTTGTCCTCAAATGACAAATTCCCGGTTACAGAAAGTTATAAGAAATAATATATTTCCGGGATTGTAGTGTGTGTGTGAAAGCAAGGTATTCAAATAAGTTTGTTTTATCAACTAAATGAGTGGCTGATGCTATATCGTTTCTACAGATATACAAGGTGTAACAAAAACAACAACAAAAAAACAACCGATATGCTCCTTATACTTAACCTTTTCAGAACACCTAACGTTTTACAGTATAACTAAAATCAATAGTTCAGTGCTACTCAAGTCGAAAGAAAAAAAATATATCTTGGCAATTGGTTACCTTTTACAAAAGCTGTGAATTTAGTTTTAAATTATAACAAAATAATAGTAAGCAATGCAAGACTAGAAAAATCCTGACAATTCAGGAATAGTTCTTTGCAACTTAAATGTCTAACACTATACAGGTTGCAAGGAGGCTGGTACACATATGAAAAAGTCAATATTATTAAAAGAAATACGGAAGTTCCAATGTTCAAAGAAATTAAAATCCATAGTTTAAATGAATAGAATTTAATTATTTGTAATGAACTGTTTTCTATTGGCTATTGAAATTTGTTAGTTTTTATCAAGCAAACAGCACGTTTCTAACTAGTAAATGAGTGACACATTTTCATTTATGTTTATCTGCAACTTTTATATTATACATAAATATTACTGAAAGCAGATACTAAAATGAATTTTTTCTTGTGTATGATTTTAGTATAGTAGACAAAAGTAAGAGCTTCCCTGATAAAAGCCCACATGGTTTCGTTTGCAGGTACATCATTGAACACATTATGAAATATTTAACATGACAAGCGAGTTTTTAAAACGCACAACAGCTTTATTCTTCTCTTCCTTAATGCATTAATTAATAGTTTTATGTAATTATTTTTAATGGTTATAGACAATTCATAGGCTTTTGAAATAAAATTTTTTAACACCTAAAAAGAATTACTTAATCTGTTTTTTTTTCATCATTTTCTTTGTTTTTGTATTTACAAATATTCATAATGACCTTAAAAAACGAGTTAAAAATGTTACACATGTATGTTGTTTGTTTCTTGACATTTAAAATATCATCTGTGATGAAGGAAAAAAATCCAAAAAGTATCATCACACACACAAAAAAAACAATATTTCATAAATACTTATCAGTGCAAGCATATTCAACGATTGTAATATACACAACAATTGTGTGAATGCAACAGTATACACAAAAACAAGTACAAAAAGCTTTATGTTGATACAATTGGGGCTTTTTAAAGAACTGCACTTTAACAAATGTTTCACTAGTTTTGAAGTGCTTAATAAACTCAATTATCTAATTTAACTTCCATAAATAGTCACATTTGAATTCAAATTATCTTAAGAAACAAACCACCACTCAAATAAATTTAGTCATAAAATAAATCTTCCAGTTTCTTAAATTTAGAGTTACTAGATTTATTCACATTACCTATGCTGTAAATATGGATTTCATTAACTTTCTGCTTGAATTACACAAACTAAACAAAATGACATACAGTAATAATCTACCTCTAAAGTTTTATTATTTTACAAAGTGATTATCTCATACAATTATTTGAGATAAATAACATTTTTTTTTTCCACATAAAGGAAATGATTCAACAATTAGGGCACATAAATGTAGTTCATTCCAAAAAGCTTTGAAATCACTCTTTCAGCATAACTTTTAATCATGACACTTTCCCCAAGTAAACAAAAAGTTACATTATTGGAGGCAATACTTTATACAATTATGAAAACATTAATTGAAAGAAGTGCAATAAATTTAATTTTCTTTTAAAAAAAGGTTTCAAATAATATTGTTTACCAGAAAAAAATAAAATTTTAATCTTATGTACAATATTTTCTCATTCATTATGTGCAATGAAATTAAAAGTTTCATGTAAATATTCTATTAAAAATTTGCCTCTTGATAAGATATAACCCAGATGTCATTACAGTGCTCATCCCAAATATAGTAGTGCTTCTAGAAAAAAAAAGGGGGGGGGGCACACAGGACGTACATATGAAGATATGAAACTGTAGTTGTATAATAATAACAATTACAGTAGCTAAATAATTTTGGCCACCACTATACTGGAAATTCCAATGTACAATGTTTACTAACAATATACATATGTGTATGTATGTGTGTGTGTGTATATATATATATATATATATTAAAAATGCCTAACAGTTTAAAAATAAAATGTAAACTATAATTCAATTTAATGAGAGTAATGTGAAGGATTTTTTAAATTTCCTAAAAGTTCAGCATAAAGTACATAAATAAGCACATGTATATTATTCTGAACTCTCCCCCCCCTCAAAGAATTTTTAACTTTAAATTAGTATAAGTACTAAAATATATTAAATAGTATATTTGATATTTTATAATACAAGTTCTCTCTCCTGGAAGAGACATAATTTGTAGATTTTTCAAGTAAAATATTAAACACCTGATTTGGAAGTCAATACTTTACTGTGATGCAAGAATGAGTAGCATATGAATTTGTTAAGCTCCTAAGGCATTTGTAAAAAGTAATGCAGACCTCAACAAATTCCAGGCACTGTGGCAACTAAAAATTTCGTTATGGCACCTAGTATTTTCTCCCATTTTATTCATGTGTAGGGATGTGCTAACTAAACTTGAATCTAGAACAGTTCTGGACTCTTGGAAGTCTGGAACATTTTCTCATTCTTTGAGTCCAAAATTAAACTTTTTCTATTATTTCAATGGTGGATTCAACACTTCATGTTTTATCAGGAATGAAGTGACTGTGGATATAAATTTTTTTTATTAATTTCACGCAATTTTGTTTTTCTTCTTTCTCTTACTTCAAACAATCAGTGCAAGTGTTTAGACTCAGACGGGACCAAAGGCAGTTAGTTCAGGCAATACTATCAGGTGGTTGTTGATATCATGTGATCATTAGCATGCACTTGTTGCTGTGAAAGTAAATAAATACATATAGCCCCCATTTCCCAGGACAAACAGTAGTGAAGTTAGGTTAGTCACACCAAAAGGCCTTTGCTTATCATTGTACAGTGTTGTACTGATGAGTAGATTAGACCTATTCTGATACAACCTGCTTGGCCTATCGATATTGTAGTGATTATTTTTATTTTACTTTCTTTTATTGCTAGAATCCACCTAAGTTATAGTTATTTAGTCTACTATTTTAATAATTGCACATATTGAAGTTTAACTTCAATATATGTTATATAATAAAGTTTAATAATGAACCCCTTGTTTTTAGTGTAAAAACTGTATGTCTTGTAACATAACCACACTAACGACTCAGAACATATTCCATAACTTTTCTATATCAGACCTGGCTCCTAGATCTGGAAATATTTGTCAAGGCCTGAGGTAATGCATGCATAAATATATGCCATAGATGATTATTACTTGTGTAGTCAGTATAACTAATACTTAACTGCCAAAACTAATATCAAATGTGAAATTTAATTTTTTTGAACTTAAGTTATGATAATTTTACATGAAAAATCATTAACTCGGGAAATCAATTTGTACATATTATTTATTAAGATTACAGTTTGTTACAAAATAAATCAATTACATATCAATCTAATGAATAAGGTAAGCCTGTATAAAGAGCAAATTTTCCTGTGAAAAATAAACACAACCAGTATTTGGTTTATTGTTGATGATGTTTTTCAGTGCAAAACTACACAAAAGGCTATCTGTGCTATGTTCACCACAGGGGGAATAAAACCCTGGATTTTTGTGTTTTATATCTGTAAACGTACTGCTGATCCACTGGGGGGGCATTTGGTTAACCCTCAACAGGTAGGGTAAAATATTTATATCATAAGTGGTAGGGTGGGTCAGAATGACCCCCAAAGAATTACAACACTAAAAAAGAAGAGAACTGCAACAGTAAATCCATCCTGCTAAACACTAAAAATTGACTGAGGGTAGAGTACAGAAAATATCAGGTAGAGAGAAGCACTAGATGAGTTGGAATATCAACTTGAAAAGTCAACATGGGTCATTCTGACCCCACCCCACTACTTGAGGGTTAATACTCTAATATACTGGCAGAAATTTAAAGATTACTTTGGCAAACCAATATCACAACAATCTCTTTTTTTTTTGCAATCCTTTTATCTTTTGATAGATAATATGGTGGATTAAGTTTATGTCAATGATTTAAGATATATACAAATTCACGAATACAATTTGAGACACTTCTCTAATACCTAAAACAAAATTTTAACAGATAGTGTATTTTTGCGTGCAAACACTGATAGTCTTGTTAACAATCTTCAATCTGTAGCCTATCAGAAGTTGAGAAAACAGCTACACACACATAACTTACAAAAAATAAAACCTACAACAGAAAATAACAATAAAATTGTCAAAAAATAAAAATCAAGAAAGCATAATATGTGACCTCATCCTAATGTACAACTAACAACAATATGAAGGTATGGTATCTTAGCTCAGTATTTAATAAGTTTAATGCACATTTCTCTGTGAAAATTGTTGTTTTACATATACATACATACATACACACACAATATATATATATATATATATATAATAAAACACAGTAATTTTCAGAGAAATACATATATATATATAAAGCAACTTAAAGAAATACAAGATACTGTTTTTTGTAGATGATCTAGTACAAATGTAGACCTTTACTCGTGTAATATAATTCTGAAAATAAATTAAAATCATACAATCATGTATCAGTGGAATATTAACAAACTTTCTCAATTAATCATGGTAGTGAGTGATTTTTTCACACCTCCTCCTTGAACACATAAGCAAATATTAAGAGCTATACTGACATGCCTGTGCTTTCTGATGTATATCCTTCGTTCCTTACTCATTATATTACACGCATTCCATTACTTTGTGATATTACAGCAAAGAGCCTTTTAAATCAAGCAGTTTCCAGCACCATAATACATTAGTTTCCAACTCTTTGAGAGGAAGGTGAATGGAACTGAACATATGCATGCATTTAAATATGGAATTAAAGGGGTAGGAGAACAGATTTGTATATAATATGTAGATTAATTGTCTTTGTTGTATAGTGTCAAACATTAGCAACTGATGTGTACACTACCTTATTATGATTTCCTTTCTAAGATTTAGCCACCATGGAAGTTCTAAACAAAAACAACAACATACATTTACAAACTCCATTTACAATAAATCAAGCTATATCGTTACACTCTTTAAGTAAAAGAAGAAAGCTGTTTATAAATAAATTAAGTTCTGTCATGCTGCCTGTTTCACACTTGAAATGGAGTTAGGAGATGACCAAATATGAAGGAGATGGGAGCTGAAACTTCCCATAATAGAGTTTTGAAATTTTGAAGGAGAAAGTGAAGGTCACATTAAACAAAATTCATAAGAACATTTTGTTGACATACATATATGTATGTATATATATACAAATATATATACGCACACACACACACAAAGATGACTAGAATCTTATATATATCATAGCCATCCTGTTCTTCAGCAGATATGCCATAGACTTGTCCTCTGTTTTTTTAATAAGATTTTGAAAGTCACAATGAACCTTTACAGAGCCACTAATACTTGAAGCATCATTTCTGCAGACCATTCAGCACCAATGTAAAATACCTGTTTATCCCATACACCACGGTCGCAAATGGGCGGATTCATTTCCTTTGTTCCATCATTCACTGCAAAAATTTTAAAATACAGGACACAAACAGACAGCAGGCTTTATCTTTTTTCTTTGGTAAGAAATAGCAACATAGTGCCACTATTTTTTTTTATTCTTAGAAAAAAGGAAACACTTAAAATAGTCTTAAGGTTTGGCACAGTGATGCCTATAAAACCTCAGATGTTTCAAGATCCACAAACATCAAAGCTAGTCTCACTGCAGCCGAGCTATTAAGTCAACAAGAAAAGATAACAGAGGGTACAGCTGCAAAGATGAATGGTTCAATAGCTGGGAAGCATGTGTATCTAAATGTGACACATTAATCCATCATCTCAAAATATCCAAATTATAGCTCAAGGCTGATGTCATGTTGTATTCAGTTCAATACAAGAACAAAAACGTGTGCAGAATACAGAGGTCACAAGATGTGCACACATAATTAAATACACACACACACTAATACAGATACTTGAATCCCAACAAGGTGTCAGGGCCTATTTTCACAAAAGTATAGACAAAAATGAGCCAGAAAACAGCAGTGTATAAAAGCAATGATGCTGCCAGACATGATTCTGTTGCTAGATAGTCTTTCCCTAGACCAAGTTGTACTCCTTCAGATTTAGCTGCAAGATGGTGTCCTTCACAGCAGCAAATACAAAACGTATGTTTTCTGTGTCTAGAAGTAAATCAAGATAAGTACATTAGTTCAAGAGGCATGGCACATAGCTCTCAACTGGTAAACAATAAATTCAACATATAAACTGAAAATGGGATACAATTACAGAACCTTATATTTTAATATAATAAAAGTTAGAAGGGACATTATTCATAAAGAGGATTGTTTTTCTGAGTGTAATCAAAAATTGTTTACAGTATGTGATAATCTTTTTTCTTATCTGTTTGAAAAATAAAACAATTATTATGTCTATAATAACCATCATTTTATAAAGATAAAGTTTTGATTTTAGCAAGGGAAACAAACTGATACTGCTAGCCAAAATAAAGTTCTTATAGATCACAGGCTTAACATCTGTTAGAATCAACATTATTATATATCATAAAATATACCTAAAATATTACACTAATAAATTTCATCTTATTTTTACTTCCTTCTATTTCCATAGGATCAAGAGACAAAAGTAGGTAGTAGGTTAGTACTATAAGGTCCTTAATCTGATTTGCTGTAAGTAAATGAATACAACTAAGCAGCAAAATGACAGCCTAAGCCATGCAGGTTTTGAATAGCAAAATAGACTTAAGACAAAAACAAAACAAAAAAACTTCTGTATGTTTCAAAGACAGAAAATGATCATGGATTTGCATCATAAGTCTAATTCACATATTCATAATATGAACTTGAATATTTTAATTCAACATACAATCTATGTGGGTGCAGCACTGTGTGTTAACTAGCCTTTAAAAGTATACTGAAGAAAAAATACACTGTACATACTATTGGATTAAACATTCCACGTGAAGAACTTACCAAAAAGCAAATTAAAAACTATCAAACTAATTTATTTTAAAACAGATAGGATTTGAAAAAAGTTTCCTATAAAAATTAAATCTATATAAATGATCTGTGTAAATAAATCACAATCAAAACTGTACAGTTTCTTTCTCTGTTTGGTTTTAGAACCTGCAAATTTTTCATTTCAGGAAAACTTTTTTTTTTACATTATAAATATGAAAAATTCTCTCAAGGTAAAGTTTAAATAAAATTTGTATCTCATGAAAACTTACCATTACCATTTAGTTTGCAAATATGATTTTAAATTTGTTCAACATCTCTTTTTACTGAGCATGCCAGATGTTTGTACATGTCCACTGACATAATTGGCAAGTGGTTGTATCAGCTCGAGTCATCTGTCAGTCTGTAAATCATGTCTCAAAATCACAGTAAAGTCATTTGTATTTCCAATAGATACCTCTTCACACAGAAATGCTATTTCCCTCATACTTCTACTTATGAGATTTGCATGCCACTAGCCACATTTTTAACGTGAATTGTGCTGGTGTATGATGGCATCAACATGCAACAATAGTCCTCCACCAATAGGAGGCTGACACAATCTCCATGAGCAGTAACTCCCCCTATGTACATGCACTTGTGATAACTTCATTTTTAGATGAGCCAAGAAGAAAAAGTGCACTGTATGTGGGTAGGTCAGGTGGAAGGTGAGTTCCTATTGCAAATACATTTTCAAATTAGGAAAATGTTAAAATCTGAGATGACAACTCGCCTCTTCACACAGAAATGCTTGAATCCCATATTGAAGTTGTGAAGGACATAGTGCAGAAACTTACCTGTATGAGCTCCCTTCAGAAAGCACTAGAAGGGAAGCCCATGGAGTGTGACATCTGATGGCAGGGACTCCATAGGGACACCCCCATGAAAGACAGCATCTCATCTGAACCAGAGTACATTCTTCACCAAGAAGAAAGGTAAAAGGAAAAGCCTAAGGGTCACAGGGATGGGTGGAATATGATCACAACCAACTGAGCACCTGCATGCAAGTGGTAGGCAAGCCAATATGCATAGCATGGTAAGAGAGTGATTAGATCATACAATGCATGCTCACCTCGACTCTACAGGACAGACTCTGACTGCAGGAGGAGGGCACAGTAGCTGCGTGAGGGGTGACCTGTACTACACTGACAGTGTCACCAGTGCCATGTTTCTCACCATAGTAGGCTAAGTCTAACTGGTGAGAATTCTGTATGGTTCACCACCCCAGTGACAGAAACTGGTAAGTGGCAAGGGTCTCCTGTGCTACAGTTGAAGAAAAGGAGGGGAAATTTGCACTGGGGACACCCAGAGAAATGCTCATATCCCCATCAGAACATCATCAGGATAAGCAATGGATGACCTCAAAACCGTATTTTAAAAAGCTGGCAAGCACAAGCCAAAGAAGTGAGCAGTCACTTCTCTAGTGCTAGCTTTTTTCATTACTAGTCTATAGAATTGGTAGGGTCTGGATTAGACAATTGAGCAAATTTGTATACCACAATATTTCAAGTGGTCTTGCAGAACACCCCACCTCACAGCGGGCACTGGTAGAACCAGAACGGATGGGCTGAACACTTTTTTATCCTGGCATGATGCAGATTTTGGGAAATAAGCATACCCTGGGAGGCAACACCAGCCACCTGTTGGGATCCTGTTTGATGAAAAGGGAAACGTACTTACCCATTTCAAAGACAGTGGGTTGACTGAAATATCACAAGAGGTGGAAGTCAAAATCCTGTAAGAGACAAAATAGCCAAGTGGTGAAGATAATGACTGATAAACGTGTGGGGAGCTTTCTACACGCCCGTCTAGAGGATCTCGTCTGAGGGCCAGCAAAAGTGGGAAGCACGAGAATAAGAAAGTTGATGAATCGGATGCAAAGTAATGTGAAATAGCCTACAAACATCCCCACCCAGGCAAGAATATATCAACCAGAGGAGTTGATGGACCCATCCAGTAAGGATAGAAGTAGAGAGGTCCCTGGAAGAAGAGGGGTCTCAGGGTAGGAACAGACGATAGCAGGGCCCCCAAAAGGTGATGTCCATGATAAGGAACAACAAACAGTCCAAACAGGATACAGGAGCTGATCAGGGTGTGACTTATCATAGAAGTGAGAGATAGAAGGAAGGGAAATGAGAGAGAAAGTACAGTTACCCTACCAAGAAGCAAGAGGAATAAAAAAACTGGTCTGAGTAGAGGATTATAGAAATGTGGTGGAAGAGGATACAAGAAGCATCAATAGTATAGACATACAAACAGTAGCAACCACAAGTAAGAAAAAGAAGGAAATAAGATATGAGAGAAAGGTGGCACAAAGAGCAAGAAGCAAACAGCTTGAACAAGGCACTTGTGAGAGCATACAAAATCACATTAATGACCCAGTCAAGCATGGGCATTGAGTGAGAAGGATGTCAAAGAAGGGAGTGGAATATAGTGAAGAAAACAAAGGAAAGAAAAATGTAGTGGACAATGCTACACAATAACCAGCAAAGATGGAGACCAACAAACCATGGTTGAACATCCAATGAAAGAAAGACAGAAAGGAACTTCACAGTAGGATGGCCAGGAGAAAAGGAGTGGCCAATGACCAATGACAAAAAAATCTGCCATACTTATTTATAGACAGAAAAAGTGGAATGGCAATAGGAATGAAACAAGAAGAAGGCTACATGATCAAAGAGTCCAGTACAGCAGGTGATGGAATAGATAAATCCCACACATGAAGATGGAGGAACTACATCTCTTGATGAAAAAGAGACAGATGAGTTTGAAGCAAGAATGAGGGGATAGTGGGTACAGAAAAAAGGGTTCCAGACACCAAGTGAAAAAGCACAGGAAACCAAGGTGATGTTGGTCAAAGAGGTGCCACAGTAGGATTTGACATATCAAGGTGAGAACCTGAGGGAGGAGGTGAAGAGGAGGATAGGCATATAGAAAAATGTGAAACTAGTCCTGGCTGAGAGCACAGACAGCCAGAGTTGAAGGATGAGGAAGAGGGGACCAGAAAAGAGGAAGCTTGGAGTTAAGATGGATGTGCCCAACCAAGAGCACACCCTAAGAAAACACAGTATGGAAAGACCACACTGTGGTCATAATGAAGTCCAGTCAAGAGAGGCAATCTGCTACAAGGTTCATAGCCCCTGGCACATAACAGCCAAAAGAAAAAAAAAAAAAGACAAACCTGATGTGAATTTGCCCAGAAGAGTACTTCTACTATAGAAATGTTAGAGTTGGTCATGACCGATTGATCCACCAGTATGGGCATGAAGTGAGAACATGCCCAAAGAACAGTAAGAAATTTGAACATGTTGATGATGAATGAATGTTTGTCTTACATCTAAATGGCAAAACTAATATCATTGCCCAGAGATGCACCTCAACCTGAGTGAGGTTCCCAATCAAGAACAATGGAATCCAAGAAATAGATTACTGGAGGAGGCATATATGTGCACACCTCAAAGGAATGAGGAGTTCCAGGGAAGCCAAAGTCCTCCAAAGTGAAAGAACTCCTCACACAGGATGAGAAGCACAATTCCTGATGACCAAATACTCCATAGTTCTCAGGCAAAAAGAAAGCTTAGCTTGGCTTAGGTAAAAGATGAAAAAAAAACAACCCAGATTTACAAGCCACCCCAACTGAGCAGCCTTCTACAAAAGAAGGAAGGTGTGAGAAATGGATACCTTCCAAGAATGGATCAACAGAAGCCAATCATCCAAGAACAGGAATGAAAGCCCTAAACCATGAAGATTGAAAGTGATGGCCCTCATGATAACAATGAATACAAGAAGGGCCAACACTATTTTTCAAGTGAAGATACAAATCTGATGAATGGAATGTAGAAAATTTCTGGAGGACAAGGCAATATGGATGTGTAAAAAAGTGTCCGACACATCAACCATATTCAACCACAAACCAGGTTAAAAAGACCGTTGATGGGATCAGAGGGAGGACAAAAGGAAATGGGAAGAGGAGTGGCAAGAAGAGAAGTTGGGAGAGAGAACAATAAAAAATGTCTCTCGACAGAAACTGAAACCAACGGATGACAAAGAGGAAGAGACAGGTACTCATAAAGCCAAACATGACAGAATACCCACTGACAAGAAGAGCAATGAACCAGACAAAAGGTAGCTGGAGGACAAGAATAAGAAAAGGAATGGGAAGGTAAGAGGTAGATAGATTCAGATGAGGAACAGGAGCCATAGAGCAAGGTTGAGAAAGAAGAAAACCTAGGAAAATAATGGGCTTGAAGTCATAAATACACAATTCAGGTTACCAGTGACCACCACCAAAAATCAAGTGCACACGAGTCCTAACAGAAGGGGAAACAAGTAAAGAGGGACAGAGTAGAAAAAGTGGAACAGGCTAAGCTGTAAAGAGAAAAATGTATTCAGAACTCCCTGCTGGAGTATGACGAAGAGTTTCAAATTAAAGGTGGAGGGAGGAGAGGGAATATAGGTGAAATAAGACAAAGGTGTGAAAATGAGAAACCAGAGAGCAAAATAGAAGAAGCAGATACCTAAGACAGGGAACCTAGAAAGGGAGAATGTCTGAAAGTTTAGATAAAATGAGTCACTATTGCGAGGGAACAAAGGATAAGGGTCTGAGTGAGGAGATGTTAGAGAAAGGAAACAGCATAAACCCTTAAGAACAAGCAAAGGAGGAAAGACAAAGCAATGCCAAGAATTGGATTCATGATGTAAAGAATGGGCAATATTAAAGCAAAGGATAAAGAAAAGGAACATACCTGAGAATATCCAAATAGAGACTGGAAGGTTAAAATTATAATAAGACACTATCTAAAGCAAATCAGGTTAAATATGCAATCCAATAGTCCTTTAATGACTGAGGAAAAAGAATGTTGGCTGAAGGAACAAGATTAGGAGGCCTAGTAAGCATGAAGTAATCCAAACCCCAATGCTGCAACATCCCCAACAGTTAATGAGTCTCCAGACACCATAGTACGAATAAGGCCTGTGTGTGTGTAATGTTGTCATTCATACAGGAGTAGAATTCATCGTCACTTAAAAAGTCATGATAAAAATTAAAGTTTTTGAAGCAAAAGCTAATGGAAACAAAATGCATATCTCATGAAATGGAACTCAGATGAGAAATTTGATCAGATCCGCTCAATGCAATGATGAGGAAAAGAACAAAGTTATCATGAGCGCAAGTGCATAGGGGGAGTTACTGGGCTTGGAGGTTGTGTCACCCTCCTTTTGGTGGAGGCCTATTGTCACATGATGACATCATCATACACTAATGCAGTTCACATCAATATAGGTTGGAGTTTGCTCACGGCTAGTGGCATGCAAGTCTCACAGGCAGCCATGAAGAGAAATAGCATTTGTGTGTGTGTGGGGGAAGGAGAGTTATCATTTCAGAAAATAAACTTAATACCTATCAACTAATTAATATTGTCATTAGAAAAGCAAGTTTAAGTCAATTTGCATAAAGCTCCCCACAAGCTGCAACAAGTCTATTTCAGTGAAACATAATACACATACAAACACACACACCTGATATTGCTCCTCAATTATCATGTCAAATATACCTTTAAAAATGTTTGAAGGTATACAAGGTATAGTTGTGTGTATAAATATGGTAATTTTGTGGTGCTAGATTTTTTTTTACCAGACATTTTACAATAAAAACATTGATAAGTAAAGAGCATTTTATCTTTCAAATATTCCTTTTTAACTTTTCAAGACTAATTTATACATGAAGAAAAACAACAAAAGAAACCTCACTGATATTGTTAAAAATCAGAGGTCTGCACGGCTAGAAAACCAAGAACCTGATACCCATTATGAAAAATACTCAGGTCCTGTTTCAGTAATAATAACAATAATAAAAAAAAACTTGTGCTAAAATATTAATCTTTTAAAAGCATAATACATAATTAAATGCTGAAAACAGTACACATACATTTCCTCTCTTCAGGTTTGTTGACTTATGTAGCTTCTTAGAACTGAAAATGATGAAATAATAAGAAACAACTCACATTAAATAAAGTTAGTAACATCAAATGTATTCCATGCTGCAGGATTCTTTGTGCTATGTTCTACTGTTGTTGTTTTTTAAGTTCATATTAGCAAGGCAGCTAAATAACTGATAACCATGTTATTAGAGTAGTAAACAGACTCAGTGTAGGTCAGGTAACTTAAACTCTACTGAATGCTTGGGCTTTCAAACAGCCATGCCAACCTCTATTAGAAATTACTACCTAAATGTACAAATAAGACAAACAGGATAACACAATTACACTTCCAAAATTAATTTACATATCAAACGTCACCCTAATTTCTTCTATCAAAAAAATGCTTTAGTACGATACCCTTAACACCCCTGTGTAATTTCACCTTCTTATGCTATGCTGTTTGTTAGATAAGATGCTCTGAACTACAAAACTCTCTTTACAATCACCTGTACAGCATTATGTTTTTTGTATGAATATGCCTAACTTATTTTATTGAGCTTTCTATCCAATACCATAATTAATGAAACAGATTCAGCGAAAAACAGAAACAGTCATGTAATTGTAAACTTCTACATCTTGAAGTTGTGATATCTGTTTTTTAAAACTTATTGACAATTGATTTTGATTCACTTGGATTTAAAAAATAAACATGAATACATTCACCATATTTCAGAAAATGAAGTCTTCAGCTGCAAAAATTATAGGAAAAGTATTTTTGTTAAAGGGCTGCTTAACAATTTTACTTTTATATCTGTTACCTGCATCTAGTATTTTGATGATTTGCTACAAATTTTTTTTATCTTACACTTAATAAAAGGCAAGGTGGAAATTAATGGATTTTTTTTATTGTTAAATTTAAATCACAAGGATAGTTACCTTCCTTGGTGTGTTTCGTAAACTGGGTAACTTATATCAAGTAATAAATGTAACTACACAGGGTAGACTTTGAAAATTCAAAGAAATGTTTAAAATTGCTGAACAGAGAAGTGAAACATGTGGTCAACATTTTGGCCAAACCCTTGAAGGTAATTTGGCTGAAATGCTTATAATGTATTTCTCTTTCAGTTATAGTAATATCAATCATTACTTTGTAATTTTATCCATCATGGTCATAAAGTAATATATTTATTTATGATAAAAATATCAATTATTTCAAATGAACTAAGATTTTTAATTAGCTATTTCGTCAATATACGTTGTTCATCATTTCTGAAATTTTACTTTCATATCCATAACAAAATTATATCTTACAAGTACTTAAACTATATGTACATTACTTGAAAGAAGTTTAAAATAAGTTCTATAAATGTTTGAAAAATAAAATTTTTAAACACGTATGAAAGCAAGGGCTTCTTTTACAAGAGCAAAAAAACAAAAAGTGAAACATTTTAGTTTGCACACTGACAGTCAACTTGAAAACTGTCAAAATATTAATATACATAAACAGACTACCTAAACAAAACTTTACACTCACTACATAAGTGTATTAAGTAAGTTTAGCAACACCAGCAAATATAAAAGAGAAGCTCAAATTATGATGAAAATAAATTAAAAAATAAGACATGCAAAAGATATAAAGAATGTCAGACCAAACAAACTTTTCTGTCAAGAAATACTACAACAATGACAACTAAAAGAGGGAAATGTTTCAGGAACTGTTGTGATAAAATTCAGTTACATGCAAAGAGGGTGGGGGTAGAGGGAAAAAAAAGAGTAATTCTGCCTTTGCCAAACCTCCACATAAACACTGCTCATTTCACAAACTTCCTTCTATACTAAGGTGTCTTTTACTTCCTTGGCAATCAATGCATTTAATATTTACACTGCATTATAGCTTGTTCAAGATGGTCAAAATGATTGGCAAAAAAAAGGGGGTATCATGCTCTGACAATCTTGAAAAAAAAAATATAATACTATCTTTGGTATATATTGTCTGATGATTTGAACTCTAATTAGAATCAATAAATGATAAAAGTTTTCATAAATATCAATCTTCAACAAGGTGTGACGCATAACTGCAAAAGCCCTTGTTAACTTTTTAAGACATTACATTTTGAGAACCTACCTTTTAGGTTTTGAACAACAAAGTTAATTTAACTAATGAATGAACACAAATGAAGGTGCCATGACATTGGATTGTTATGTATTATAACTTCTTTAGTTATCTGGTCTCCCTCTAGACTTACAGAAGTAGTTACCTAGACCAGAATGAATATTTAAGAAGATGATCCATGGGGGACAATGAAATAGGCACAGGTAGCTTATTCCTACCTGTTGCACACGTGAAATGAGAATAGATGATTTTTTCACTGTCTGGGTTGAGGTCCACAAACATTTTCAAGATGAATTCCCTTCCCTGAACAGCATCTTTCTTTGGCCCTAAAGAAGCAAAAGTGAGAGGAACAGGAACGTTCGTGAAATCAGGTGGGGAATATTGTAGCAAATGTGGAGGTTTGGAAATAAGTTTCTCTGAAATATTCTCCCTTGCTCTATGGCTATGATAATTTTTCTTTTCTTTTAACAAGAAAAGAAAGTTTCTCAAGCTCACTATGAAACGTATATAAATTTTGTAAGACTAGTATCCTAATAAAGGTCCTGATAAACCCACTAATGAGATACCATAAAAACTGCATCAACTTTCAAAAATCAACAATGAACATTGTGTTCACTGATGAAAAGATTTTATAAACAAGTATATGTAATCTTTTTTAGTTGCATAATGCCTTCTTATCATTGAAGTATTTATATGCAAACTAGAAATTCTAAGCCATAACACAAAGGATGTTCAATATTTCAGAGATAATGGAGGTATTTGAGTACTTCTGTTCCTGGAAAAGCTTTCAGTGATATGTCAAGTTCGATTTTGAACAAAGGAGTCTGTGAAAAGTTGACAGAAAAGGAAGGAAAGAAACTATGTGTAACTTGTCAATGTATGACTGACCTGTGGCACAAGTGAAGTGTGAGTAAACCATATGATCTGGGTATGGACTTTGATCCAGATACATCTGGAGAATGAACTCACGAGCTGCGATGTAGTCCTGCTGAGGGCCTAAAACATGGAACCTTAACATTAATAATACTCACTGTGCCCATTATACCACACCAGGGCATCATTGCTATTTGATTACAGAGCTTGTGTGATTATTTTAGTTCCAGGTAAAGACAAAGTCACAATAATACATGAGCAGACTGTAAACAAAACTGTTAGATCTGTTATAATACAATAAATAAAGTATGTACTATTTTGTCCCTTAATGGACTATTCACTCCTCAATCCTTACATATACATAATACAAAATGCTCTTTGACAAAGTAAAATTAAACAAATAACAAATTCTAAAATGTTTTAAATTGAAAACAAGAAAACTACTCTCTCTCTCTCCACCACTATGAGAACACCTGCAAACATGAAATCTTAATTTTTTACAAAAATAAAGCAAAACAGATACTTTCTCTGTATAAGTGTATTACATTTGTAGTGTTATCTATTGGATATAGGAAAACAAATGGTAATGTACATTTACCAGAAAATTTCAGTGAAATTCACCTATAATTTATAATGAAACCTAACATTTATGGTTTGACAAATTTTTAAGGTACAATAGATTCAGGCATTAACTAAACAATCAGCAAGCAGTCAAATGTAATGATAGAATTATTTGGGCAAGTTGAAAATGGAAGAATACCATCACTCTCTACCTTGATTACTATGACTAGTCTCTAAAAGAAAAAAAAAGTTAATTCAAGACCTGCTTGATTATTCATAAAATATAGTTGGTTTTAATTTCAAATTGTACAAAAGTAATGGCATAAATACTTTATCAGCTTGTGTGAAAAAAAAAATCCTAGACATTTGCCAGAATGTTGTTGTTGCAATACACCTACAGAATAAAGAATGACTGACAAGATAAAAAAAAAATCAAATTTTTTGACAACAATTTCAGGTTAACTCTCTCCACACGGGCTCGGTCAATTTAACCAACCATGTGACCTTTTTGTACTAGTATAGAGTCTATAGATATATACTACTAGTTTTTGATATAGTGTGTATATCTGCACAAAATTTGGCAGTCTTTCAGTAAACATTATAAGCCTTTTAAATACAAAATCATATTTTTAGTGAACTATTTTTAATAAACTAAAATAAAAGATTTGTTCTTGAATATATTGAGTATTTGTTTCAATAGTCCGCATGCAAAGTGATTTTCACATTACGATTAAAAATACTTTCCTTCATCCCAAAAATCTCAAATTTCAATCGTGTAATTTATAAAAAAAAACTAAATACATTTGAAATGTTTGTTTTCAGTAAAACTTTATATTTTAACTGCTATTTTCTCCACCCTAACTCTACAAGGTAGGTCAATTTGACCAACCTTGTAACCACAAAAAAAAATTTAAATATATCTCAATTTCCCTCCTATTATTTCTAGAATGACTTCAAATGTAGCATGAAACTACATTCATATATCCTAACATAAACTTGTAACAATATACATCTATTTATAATTAAATTGTATTGTTTTTTAACTTTTGAACTGTGTCTAACTACTACTTGCACCATTGTAAGTTGTAAATCACTTAGGGAACATGCAGCTCACTTTACACTATCAAATTACATTACTCACGAGCTAATCCGAGCTGCTCACGTGCATGCCTCATGAAATATTTTTATTATATTATTATTTATTTTACCTAATTTAACCATAACTAACCTAAAGAGATTTCTATTTTTACATTTTACTTACTTTTACAATAAAAAATAAATAATAAACAAGAAATAAAGTTCATAACTGAGTATTCTATGAATGGACTATCGATGACACTTAACCTTATTTTTGTTATACTAATGGTAGTAGTTCATTAAATAATGCACCAAAAAACATAGACTAATAAAATGCAAAAAGCAGATAATTTTCCTCTTACAATCACAATTTTTCTGGCTTTCTAATTATGTGACAAGAGCCGTTACAAATGCACCCAAGATAGCCGTTGTGATTCCTGTGAGAACCAAAGTTGTAGTAAAAGTGAAATTGATTATTCTGTGTTCAGAATACAATGTTAAAAATGTTAAAATGTGGATTATTAGCTAAGATTTTTATGTTACACTAATTGGTATAGCATAAAAAAATAGTTTAATAAAATTTTGATAGAAAAAAAACTTGACTTTCTATAGGTTATAGGTGATATATAATTAAACGTACAAGAGAACTATTAACAAATCCTGAATGAGAGGATGTGACAGGTGAGTGTGGCAGGAGGGGTCTGATTTTCTATATGATAACTCTGTAACCAAACAAAATTGAGGGCTATACAAATTATGGTTTGTCTGAGCAAGGACGATTTAATAGTGAGTAATTTATGTTTAATTTCATAGACTGGAGGGGGGGGGGGTTTATAAAATAGAGATGATAAGATACTCAGAGAAAATGTGTAACGTGTGCCACACTAGGGGAAATTCAGGATTTTTTAAAATACTGCCTTATAAAATTAAGAACTTAAATCTTATATAGTATTAAAATATAGATTATTAGCTAAGATTTTATGTTACACTAATTGGTATAGCATAAAAAAATAGTTTGATAAAATTTTGATTGTAAGACACTAAAATCTTGTGTCATGCACAGTAAAGGATACCCAGGGCGAGAGGGTTAATGAGGTCAATAGAAACATAATGGCAGAGGTTTACATTTTGTTCAGAGAGGATGCTGTTGTGTACAAAAAAAGACTTTTGCAAATGCACATATGATGGTTAGAAGTCATTTTAACATGCTGGATCACTCTAACTATTGAAGAATGTCATGTAGATTGTAATTATAATTGAATATTTTGCCTTTGTAAAGTATCATTCACTACTAAAATAACATTTTTCAATGCTATAAAAGACGTTAGTGACTAAAATGTGATTTTAAGAAATTATCCCAATTACTATTGAAACATCCAGTCTTAATATTTTTTGAAAGGACAAGAAAAAAAATTTAAGAGCATAATATTATTGTTATAAAACAACCAAATTTAGAACTGTCCGAAGTAAAAGTTGACCCATAAGAGCCAATTTTTTTTACTAGACTTTATATAATTTCAAACTTTCTACATTATCTTTACTATCATAATTCACTTTTCAATGAATATTATAGTCTCATAGCTGATAGGTAAAGGTTTCCACATATATATATGTGAACAGTATTAAACATGTAAAGGTTAAAAAATTATTTAATGAACTAGTAGTGAATAACTTTTTTTTTACAATTTCATTTTATTACTTCAGAACATTCAAGTCCCAGTGCTTTTGAGAGTAATGAATAGGTGTCTTTGAAGCCAAACAGACAAATCTACAAAACCACCAATTTCTTTTTCCTGTTAAAATATTTTACACTGGAATCACTGAATGTTTTCAAGTTTGTTTAGCAAACCTAAGGTTTGATTGATGGATTGTATTGAAGGCACCTCCAAGTAGATTCACTAGAAGATAAAAAAGGTAAAGGTTTTCCTAAAATTATATTTCAAGCAAGGTAAATGGATGAAACTCTGGAAGACTGAGTTTATCTTCTAATAATATATCTTCAACAAAAATAACACACAATAAAATGTGTCGTCTTGCTGAGGAGGACTACATCAATATCATATTTTCCGTTTATATGGTTACATAATTATAAGGTACCTTGTAGTTTATTAGCTAAGGCATGTAAGAAATTCAGAAATACATAAAACAACTTCTTCTACCTATAATTCTTATATTTTTTTAAAGGAGAAAAACAATGAATGTTAATTTTGAATACAGTACATATAAAAGAAACATTTAACCCTAGAATGCCAGCATTAAGTTTTCAAACATTAACACCAGGTAGTATGGGGTCATAGTGACATTCTAGGGTTAATTATTATAACAAACATTATTTTCTTTCAAAGTACAAAAGTAAAACATTATCGAAATTACACCACATATATTTTGATTAAAAATTTTAGGATTTTATTAAAATTTCCCACATATATATATATATATATATATTTTAGATGCACACAATATTACACAATAAGTGTACAATTAGTCCTAATCATGATAAAGCAAAACAGACAACTTACCATCATACTCAGGAAAATAGTCAACAAGATGAGAAAACATGATTTTTTCTTCCAACAAATCTTTTTTGTTGAGGAAGAGAATGACTGACGAGTTTAGAAACCAGGGATATGTAATAATTGTCTTAAAAAGTGCTTTACTTTCTTCCATTCGATTCTGAAAAATCATCATCACAGTTGTAACAACAGAAAATATGCACAAAAACCATAAGTATTTTCAATATACTTTTACATGCTCAAGAATACACATAGAATTAACAAGTTTATTTCATCTTAAAGCTAAAAGTTCAAAAGAGTATAGCAGGATAACTATAAATACATACTATTTAATGTCAAAGTACTTTGTGAAATTAATTTTTTACTTGGAGTAAAATACCATCTCAGCTCCAAATATTCCAATTTCTTAACAAATAAAAAAACAACAAAAAAGTACTGTGCCTTCAAAGAAAAAATCAAGAACAATTATTTTGCAACATACAATGTGAATTGTGCCTACCATGACAATTGGCAAAAGGTCAAATTCTAACAGTGTTGTTTTCTATAGCTTTTTTCAACATTACTTAAGCAACATCAGAAAATTTATAAATTTCTTTTACCATAAGCCAATTGCATGAGTTATCCAGCCAATTTAAGCACTTTTCTGATGCCAAATTGCAAAACTACAACCTTTACTTATTTGAATGCTTTAAGTTTTCTTTATTCCACATTACTAGCTGTACTGAGAAATATAAATTTGGAACTTCCTACAAGTGTTTTCTTATATACACAGTTTTATATACATCTACACTTTGTTGAAATGACACAAGTCAAAGCGAGATCAAAATTATCTTGATATGAAAAGAAACATTTATTACAAGCTTACTATGCATGTATTTAAAACACATACCAGACAAATTATTATATTATCATGGGCAGTACTGCTTTTAATTAGTGTATTATCTTAATTATCGAAGACAATGTTTCATATTCAAATTACCCCAAGATCATCCAAATCTATTAATTTTATTAAACTTGTTACAAAATTTAGTTTAGTTTCATGAAGACTGTTTTTTATAATTTAAGTAAAGATTATAAATAGGTTTTGATTGTAGTTTCTGTAATTTTGGGTCACAGTCCACTTTCCTGTTATTTACTGTTATTCACACAATACATAAAAAACTACTTTTTATTCAATTTCATCAAACTTACCTCATTATCTGATTCAAAAAGAATTTGATCATATTCACTTAAGGCGACAAGGAAGATTATAGAAGTGACATTCTCAAAACAGTGAATCCATTTTCTCCTTTCAGATCTCTGACCACCAACATCAACCATTCTGGGAAGAAAAACATTTTTAAATTTAAAATGTCCATTTCATCTGCAATCCAAATTCAGTCTGAGTAAATTTATCTGTACAAAATCACCCCCTAAATCATTATTCCATTTCAGTCCTCTTTCTGGATTTTGGCATAAGAGAAAACATTAAAAACAATATATGTAAACAAAGCCAGTTATTTCACTAATACTTTATTAAACACCAAAATATAAAAATAATGTTTTCTTTTTTTTTTTTCAGACTCAAAGTAATTAAGTTTTTATTATATTCCACATATAAAATCATAGCCACAGTAGATGGGTTTTTGCTCTTTTTTTTTCAATACACTAATGTACTGTAGAACCTTTTCTTTGGGAATGCAACAAAATATTCCATGCTGAACACCATAATATGAAATATTTTCAAAACTATTATTGCGACATATCTTTGCGACATATCAGTTCTTAGCTTAAGTAAAATTTGTCAAGTTGGCCAGACCCTTGTTATGGTTTCAGTACTGTGCACTCTAGGCAGCTATGGAAATGATACTGACATGACCATTTAGTTTCCTATGTAACACTGCAGAGATAGAAATAATGAAATAAAATTACACTGACTCCTGGGAAAGCTATCAGGAAGATTACATTCCCTCATGTAAAGTTGAATTTACTCATGAATTGTTTCTTTATTTAATTCTGGCAATACGTTCACTTTCATTGGTCATAACTGAAGAAATAATGGACCATGCATTCCCACTCGAAAAAGTCAACTAAAAATATGAAATTCCTCAAACAAAGTTAAGTTCCTCAAGAATGCAGGAATGTAATATATTTGATCCCTGCATTGTGTCAAATCGGCAAGTTAACACGCAAACAGTAATGTGTAAATTACAATGCCTAACACCATGCACATATACTGTAGGGTATGAGATACTGTATATCTGAAAGCTATATGTTAAGCTCATTCAACTAAGTTCATGCACTGTTGAACATTATTTAAAACCAATGATGAATTCATTCATTTATCAGTCACCTGTTGCAACAATACTGTGTACACTTTTCCAGATGTTTTATTGCAGAAAATTTAGTACTGTTTTACATGTTCATAACATTGTTTAAGACAATGTTGGAGCCTTAAGTGTTGTATCTACAAATATACAATTACTCAAACACTTTGTAACTAATCAAAGGAAACAAACAGTCATAACTCATTTTATTTATTAAGCAAATGGGCACTTAACCAAAGCAAAAACAGAGTATGTTGGATACTATTCAAGTAGCCTAAATTTAAAATCAAATTACATAAAAATTAGAATAACATCAAGTTATTTTGAAAAATCAAACTTTTGATCTCATAAAATTTGAAAATCATTAGGGAAGGAATAAGAATAAAACTAAAAAGTCTATTCAGATAATATAGTATTATTTTGTTCGCAACATTGTTTAACTTTCCCATGCTAGCCATTGTAATATTATATTTATATGGTGATGGTATGATACATGTTAATTTTTTAAAAGTAGCTATGTAGCATTTTTTTCACATGCAAAAAAGAGACTTCTACTTTGATAATATAGTACTCTGTATTAATTAATAAATACCATATAGTCTTACAGTAACCTAAGTTAAAATAACATTAATATATTCAGTGATATAAGTTTTAATTATTATAGCTTTACCTTACAATAGAGAATAAATAATAAGAAAACCCAGAGTCTAATCAGGTAACAATAGTTTTATTATACTGACAACACCGTTTAAATTCTTAATTAATGTTTTTTGGATATATGCAACCAGGGTTTTTTATGCCTCTTCTTTAAAAAACACTTGGTAATTTTAAACAGTAGTCTTGGTACATTTGCAGTTTATAAACTCAGTGCTGAAATGTTTTGGATTTTATTAAAATTTCCCACATTATACATATATTTTAGGTACAGTCATGAAGAAGCTGCTAGCACACAATCTTACACAATAAGTGTGCAATTAATTACAAAACATCTGCATTTTATGATTTATTTATAACAGAATATGTTGCAAAATGTTCACATGAATAAAAGGTATTACAAATAACAGGAATTCTTAATTTATTTTGTTACCATTCTTTTTCCATTGCTTCTTTTCTGGTGGTATTGCCATAGTATCAAATATCATGATACTTGAATTAGTATCAGTATCATGGAGCAAAATATTGATATCACCCACCACTACCAGACCCTGAGATCAGTCATATTTTGTGTCACACACATACATTCAATGTGGTTAAGAATAAAAGTCAATAGAAGTTAACTACACAAAGCACCATATCACAAAGCCTACTTATTAGCTCTCTATTATTATTACTATTACAAAAAAATTTTGCATTTTCAAGTTTTTTTGTGTATGTACTTAGGGTAGTTTTCCATATAAAGTGGCAATAACATGCAGTCTGTGATGAAAGACAATTGATTAGTAGTAATTAATTACAATTACTTATGTTGTCAGTTGTTTAGCAAATGCAATGGTTGGTTAAGATTATAGCTGGATTAATAACTTCATATAATCATTCATCTATGAGCACTGATTACTTCACTTAGTGTCAGGTAAAATAATAAATTAATGGAAATTAGTGTTTCCAATTTTAACTATTCTGATTATTTCAACTCTCCAAATAACTGAAATATTGCCATTATGATTTCTCATTATTATTTTTGATTAATTAAAGGTGGTTCAGGTTAATCAATTAGTGTCTTGACTCACAAAAATAATCCACTAACTGAAATTAGTGTTTCTAATTACTAATATTTTTGATTATTCAAACTATCCAAATCTCTTACAAGAATAATCCATTAATGTAATTAATTAATGAGCCCAACAATTAATCAATTGGAAAATTCCACGAATCGCCCAGCTGTAATGAAGTTATAATATCTGACACTAGACATCATTCGATTTTCTCAAAATTTAATGTCTGTATTATTATCGTTTTTGAACAGTATTGTTTCTTAAAAGAAATTTTCTTTAGTGTTATATATATATCTGTAAAACATTTTAGATCAGTAACAGAATAATGATTACAAATCTTATTCAAACCTGAAAATGATGGAGTCTAGAATAAAAGGGTATTCAATAATTCCAGTTGTAGGGACTCGGACTCTAAGGATGTCTTGCTGGGTAGGTAGGTAGTCTGGGGCAGCTATTCTCTGAATATCACTAAGATAACTGAAAAAAAACAAAAAAAAAAAAACAATTAAGTAGGAAAATTCAATTCTATAAAATCAGTTTGTGTTTTTTATTATTTTAAACAAATAACATCAATAGAGAAAGCAAATGACTAAATGCAATATTAGTGTGCATGAAGGTTTTGCAAAATATATTTTTAATATTGATCAATAAGCAATAATCTTTATAATGATTACAAGAACAATAATAATAATTTTTGATATCAATAAAACAATCTGTAACTACAAAAATGAATAACATTGTACATTCAGTTTAAGAAAGAAACTGCTTATGTTTACAAGTATAAATTTTTTTTTGCTGCCACGGCTTTCCGAGACTAAATAAAAATTCCATATTTGTTTCTTAAAAAATAACAGTAACAGTTCAAGGTCTTATACTTTCATCCTTCCAGATACAAGTTGAAGGTAATTTGCCAAAGATAGGAGGAATATTATTATATCGCTCTAGTCAGTAATTTTAGTTCTAAATATGTACCACTGAAAAAATGTCACTTGAAAAGCTACAAATAATTTTTGTGAAGTGTAAGTTGATTGAAAACTAAAGATCTAATTGTCAATGATTCTTTTTTTTTCATTCTTATTTATCTAAATAGATAATTTTTTTCAGGCAGTACATGGAAGAAAACACTGAGAAAATGTTTCTTGTCATGATTTTTCTTGACATTATACAATGGCTTGATGACAGAAATCTCAAACAGCAAAAACTTTGCTCTAAAAGAGCATAATCAAATCCTCAAAACAAATCACAATATTTAAAAATCTATAAATTCCATAAAACACAGGATATTAGGCAATTCTAAATAAACTGAATGTAACATTTTTACATAGTAAAACAAATTTGTTAAAGGAACATAACACTTTCATTTGTTAACTTTTCAAAGTACATAAAACTAAAGATGAAAAAGCATATTTTCACAATATGAAAAATGCACACACAATTATACTGTTATTTGGATTTTACATCAAAGTATCTGGAACGTACAGCTGACAGCAATTTTTTCATGTTTTTCATGTTACATCAGAAAATGCTATGAAATAAATACAGTATATAAATATTAAGTGTTTTTATTAAATAATTATAAAGTTTATCACAGAAAATTCAAGTAACTTCATTTACTGCTTACTATTTTGCTGAATCTGTGAGTTGGTACTCCCTTCTCCTGTCATAACATTCTTGGATTCCTGGATCTGCCCATAACGATGATACTGCTTCCACATAGGGGCTATCAAAAGTTGTAACTGTCTCATAGTCAACAGAATGAATTAACTCAGCATTTTCCTACAAAAAAAAACAAACAATAATTTACATAAACTTGTAATTTCACATGCAAATTTCAAATGTTCAAGATATGATGCATTATTCTTAAATAATTTGTTGTTCCAAAATGATTTTCTTCAAATAACTATTTTTAACAATTAAAGTTACAACATAAAGTTTCAAAACCAGTTTCTTTATACATGAAAGTAAATTTTCACACGTGCATATCAAATTTCAGGTGTTTATTTTGCTTCTTGAATACATAACCTCTAGTCCTAACCCACATTTTTGAAAGGTTCTAAAACCAAATAGCATAGAAATTTCAAACTTAACTAAAAACAAATTCTACAGCTTTAAATCTAAGATTACATCAATTACCTATCTTCTATTTAAGATATATATTTATTCAATTTATCAAGTTTTTAAACAAGCCCAAATCAACCTGTTAATGTTTTGAAAACAAATGCTAATTGGCAACAATTTTATCTTTTAACATACGTAATATGAATGTAGATGAGTGTACTCAAGTGAAGAAAAAATCATTTGGGTTTAGAGTAAATGATTTAACTGAAATATTTTTTAACACCAATTTTAATTAGCATCTGCTACATCTTTTCTTATCATTACAAATGCTAATTAGCTAAAAGGTTTTGATAATACAATTTTAATTACTAATACATTTAATGTTAACTTTTATCATTATTAAAAACATCAAGTCATTATGGCCATAAAGTTAGATTATAACTACTATGTGCTTACACTCTAGAATTTCCTTACTTTAAATGGCAATATCAAAAATCATTATCTATAGATCACTAACTATATTTGAAATAACAAGATAGTAAAACTACATGTTCCATTTATGATTTATTTGAGTCTTAATTTATACTTTTTATCAGTCATTAAAACTTTCTAGTTTGGACAAAAATTCTAAGGTTTATGGTACAATAACATGGTATACATAATAATTGTACCCTGAAAGTGAACTCAAAATTTTATAACATAATGGACAAAACTGTATCTGTCATTTCTCTTAAGTCTAGTCTTCCAGTGTCTTGATAATTACAGATAGCCAATATTATGCACTTTT